CTCTCAATCCCTTCATCCCCAGCCTGTATTGGTACCAGGGGTCACCCTGACCCAGGTGCAGGACCTTGCACTTGGCTTTGTTGAACCTCATGAGGTTTGCACAGGCCCACCTCTCTAGCCTGTCAAGGTCTCTCTAGACGGCCTCCCTTCCCTCCAGCATATGGACCATACCACACAGCTTGGTGTCACTGGCAAACTTGCTGAGGGTGTACTTGATCCCACTGTCCATGTCGCTGACAAAAGATGGCAAACAGCACCAGTCCCAATACCGACCCCTGAGGAATGCTACTCATCACTGGTCTCCACTCAGATATTGAGCTGTTGACTGTGGTTCTTTGAGTGCGACCATCCAGCCAATTCCTTGTCCACCAAGTGGTCTATCCATCAAATCCGCGCCTTTCCAACTTAGAGACAAGGACGTCATGTGGGACAGTGTCAAATGCTTTGCACAGTTCCAGGTAGATGACATCAGTTGCTCTCCCCTTATCCATGAACCCTGTTGTAGAAGGTGACCAAATTCGTCACACACAAATTGCCCTTAGTGAAGCCATGTTTGCTGTCACCAGTCACTTCTCTGTTTTCCATGCGCCCTAGCACAGTTTCCAGGAGGATCCACTCCATGATCTTGCCAGGCACAGATGTGAGACCGACCAACCTGTAGTTCCCTGGGTCCTCCTTTTTTCCGTTTTTAAAAATGGGGGTTATGTTTCCCCTTTTCCAGTCAGTGGGAACTTCACTGGAGTGCCACAACTTCTCAAACATGATAGATAGTAGCTTAGCCGCTTCATCTGCCAGTTCCCTCAGAAGAGATGGATGCACCTCATCCGGTCCCATGGACTTGTGCCCCTTCAGGCTCCTTAACTGGTCTCAAACCCGATCTTCTCCTACAGTGGGCAGTTCTCCATTCTCCCAGTCCCCGTCTTTGCCTTCTGTGACTTGGGCAGTGTGGCTGGAGCACTTGACAGTGAAGACTGAGACAAAAAAGTCATGGAGTATCTCAGCCTTCTCCATATCCCAGGTAACCAGGTCTCCTATTTCCTTCTGGAGAAGGCCCACATTATCCCTAGTCTTCCTTTTATTACTGATGTACCTATAGAAGCTTTTTGTGTTGCCCTTGACATCCCTGGCCAGATTTAATTCTATCAGGACTTTGACTAACCTGATCCCTGGCTGCTCGGACAATTTTTTTGTAATCCTCTTGAGCAAGTTTAATTCTTTTGTTCACACAAAAAAGACAGAATTACTTGTGGGGCTGGTTTTTTGCTGTTGCTGTTTGTTTTCAATATATAACATACATTTTTTTATATGGTGTTTATGTATATATAAATATATATAAATGCCAAGATTTTGGAGTCAATATGAAATGAGAGTGGAAAGGTGAGGCATCACAAAACATCCATAAATAGCAAGTCAAACTACTAATGTTAGTATCTACACTTTAAGTAGAAAGCATTCGCTATAGAAAGAACATATTGCTTCATGTTATAAAGTGATGCCTCATTAGAGAGTAATACAAGTTTCTTTCCAAATAGTATCTTTATGTTTATTTCTGAAATCATTTCAAGACAAAGTAAGGTAAACCATCAGATGACTTTGAGAAAACTCATGTGCTTCAAACCAATTCAGGATCACCCATTCAGATTTATGAGTTGGAAGGCCAAAGGAGTGTGATGGTAAATTGCCAAAACAAACTCATGCTTAACCAGCCTTTCCAGCAAAAAACTTATAACTTTATAGAAGAGCAGCTCTAACAGCCACTTACGTGCTTTTTTTTCATCTCATACCAGTCTTGCTAATAGCCTACTCAAACTCTTCTGATCTTAGAAAAGGCGATTAAACACCAGGTCTCAAGACACTGTTTCTACGGTAGTTCTCCTCCACCTGTTGCAGCTTCAGATTAAACATGCGAACACACACATACACAAAAATAATTAATCTGGACTTACACAGAGGTGTTGCAACATTAGGCCTTTAAAATACGTAGTTCAGCTCAAGGTATTATTTCCCCCTTTCTGTGATCACATATATTTCATACTACAATCAAAATAAGGAATTTGCAAACCTACTTACCCCTTTATTGGCAGCAATGCAGCACTCTGCTATTCTCAGCCAAAGACGAGGGTTTGAATGATAAACCTGGACTGCCTCAATCAGGCATTCAAAGGCAGCTAAAGGTCTGCCAATATGCAAGAGCTGAATTCCACAATTGTAGAGCAACTCATACCGTTTGTTAGTCAGCAGTGTACACATGGGTCTTCCTGAAAATTTTTTACCTGCAGAAAAGAATTACCTCATATTGGACATACAGCTCAGGAGAGCAGGAAACATAACTCTGGGAGGAGGAGGGAAGCTGTGGGAAACACCCAAAAACTAGCAAAAAACCCTTTCATTGTCAAAACTCACTAGCTTCCCTCTGTAAATAAATTCCATCCACAAAGCTGACAACGAAGAGAAATTAATTGTATTCTTTAAGAAAGGCTGAATACATTAAATGTTAACCACTTATGTTCCTTGTCACTCAAGCTAAATGTTATATAATAATACTGAATCCCAGATTTGTGAGAATACACATCTTCGATACTCATATAAATTCCAGAAGAAAACCACCTTTCTGTTAACAAGCATAAAACATTTTCTTCTGTCTTCACACTAAGACTGCGCTTAGGTACAGGGCCAGGGGAGGAAGAAGAAAACCAATAAGATGTGTGATAACTACTAGATTTTAAAGAAAACAAGAAACAAAAGTTATCACTTCATCATAAAATCATTTACTTTTAAAAGGAAAAAGCCTTATAACTTATTAATCAAAGCAAGAAAACTTATAATAATGTTTATTTTCTTGTCCTTTGTACACTTACAACAGAAGTAGATGCATAAAACCATAAAACTAAACAATAGATGAACATTTCTCATACAAGTCTGAGAATTGTTCAGTAAGAAAGTTTGAGAAATACACCATCTTCCAAATGCTAATTTAATGGGCTCCACATTTTCTGTATCTTCCAAGTTAAAAAACAAAAGAAAAAACAACCACACATCCTTCCAAGTCCTGATGATCCTACCTATTGTCAGCAGGACTGTAAATAACATCTCTAATGATGCATAACAGGCCACAGAAACTTTATTTTGTCATATCTCCCTGACTGATGGTCAAAGACCATGAACGAGAGAAAAGTAACTGCCCCAGCCCCATGGCACAACAGCAAGAAAAGAACATATTTCATCATCATCATCTATTTCTGCCAACAGCAACTATACCCTGAAATCAAATTACCCTCAAAATTCTCACCTTCCTTATCCTGTCCTCTGCAAAGAACAAATTTTGCTGATCATTACCAACAGCTTCTATCCTCTATGTTCTTGATTCACTCACCCCTCTTCCACCATGTATCTTCATTTATTAAAAATCTTACCTGGATCTGAGCTGCCCGTTCCTAGCTGTGCACACGCATTATCATTTTCTTGCAAGGCTTTTTTAAAGTAAAAAATTCCTAAATTGTGCTTTCCCATTGCAAAGTGGATGCAGCCAAGATTGTTCCAGAACATACACCTTAAGCATTCACCTAGGAGAACCGCAAAAGACCATTTTCATCAACTGAAAAATGTCATTGAGCCCATAAAATGCTCCCACCACTCTCTCACAGGTCAGCATATTATGGTAGCCTACCAAACACGTTCTTCAGCAAGATGTTCATGGATTATGCAGTTACATCCCTGCCTCATAAGCATTTTAATAACCTACATTTCTGTACACCATTCTAGTTCTCTTGGACAGTTGACCTGAAATGTCCTATATATAAGCAGCCACAGACTTCCAGATCTTGTGCACCGTATTCTAGGAGAACCAGGTATAAAGTCAGTTTGACAGATTACAAGTTGAAGTAAGTTCACCTGGAGGTTTTCATAGAATTTAGCATGCAAGCACTTCAAGTTTTCTAACAGATAGCTCTCATAAAAAGGAAATTCTCAAATAATGTTACCTGCCTGAGTTTTATAAAATAAACAAATACATCAACCTAACCATACAAGCAGGAAACGCAATCACCTTCTTAAACATCATGTTCAGGTACACTATAAGAAGTTCCTTCTAAATAATAAAGGACAGAAAATTAAATTTTTGACTCATCTGCTGGTAACTGGAGCTTTACAGTGTTACCATTGATAAAAAAAAAGAAAAAAGAAAAAAAAACACCTAAAAATCCAAACAACAAAGAAATAGACCATTAACAAATTAACCAGACATTATTTTAATTGTAACCTAGGAAGACTATTAAGTGAACATTCTACTGTGCAAAAAAAACTCATGCAAAAAAGTTATATGAAAATAAAACTTCCCAGAAAGTTTTAAGTTATAAAAAGAATTTTAAGCATAAAAACTGTCAGAAAGGTAAGTTACAGTAAATTATTGAAAAGTGTCAAAATATGCTAGCTTAGACATTATGGTAAATATTTTGAATGTTTTCTAAGAAACTTATCCGTAAATACAGAAGTTTACAAAATTTTCAGAGGGCCAGCTCTGTGACTTCTATCATCTAATTGCAATCTATGCAGCAATATCTACTAGATTAAAGGTCTTACAGCACAAGAAATTAAGAGTACTATCACAAAACCAGCACTGAACGATGTAGTAAAGCAATTCACTGGTTTTACAGTACAAGTATTTTTTTAAATCCTCTTCACTGACACAAGACAGCTTTCTCTCCATATTTTTCAATCTCAAATATATTTCAATAATACCATATACAGTGAGTGCATATATACACAGCATATATATTTAGGTATATAAATACCTTTTACGTATAAAAAACTATACATATACATGCTGTTATATTTCTGTGCATGTCTACATATATATACTAGATAGATACAAAACTTAAAATGGCATCCAAAAAAGTCAAACTATAACACTTCATGAAACATTTCCCCCACAATCATCATTACAACTGCTATAGTCTCCTCTGAGTACAACCTGAAATATTCTAGATCTAGGATGTTGCCTTTTGTTTCACGTCTTAATTCAGAGACCCAATACGAGTCTTGCAAATACTATGTTTACACCTTCACAAATCCATTTTCATAGACAACTGCTGCATTGCCTAGAAGGATGTTCAATGAAAAACACAAGTGTTACATGAAGAAGCACAACAGGAAAGACGAAAACATATCTCAGCATATAAATCCATAACGTTGACAGTCTACTTCCTTAAGTAATCACTAATATGCTTAAAATTAATATCAACGAGTAGTACTCTTATACTACACATTTAAGTACTTGCAGGATAAATGTTTTCTATTTTACCTGTTTTCATGAAGCCTGGATGTTCAGCAATGTTTGCGCTGTTTAGAAGTTTGACCGCTTTACGATAATTGCCCCTCAAATATTCAAAATTGCTTTTAAGAAAGAGAGAAGGAGCTGACTGTGAAGGAGAAAATAATAATTAATTATCTCTTGTTTTATGATTTTTACTGCTAGTGTTAAATCACTCCACAAACAGCTTGCCTCTGCTGCCATTTAAAAAAATATATGGGCTTAGGCCCTAATACTTTCAAGAAGCAGCATTTTTTCATTGAGCACGTGATTAACACTCACCTCCTCTGAACCACAAAACAAAGCATACTCTTTGTCACTGCTCTAAAACCCAACATTATTCTACAGAACTCTGTCATGGCAATGGCTAAGTGCAGAGGATCTCCTTTTTTGTTTAAGGGGATCTTTCTCCAACCTGTCTTCTAGTACACTGCTCCCCACGCTTCCCTCCCTGTGGAGTTCAGCAACTTTCGCCTGGGCTGTGGTCTTCCTGGTCTGCCAACAGAGACCTCATGATCCAGAAGGATTTCTGTCAAACTAGCAGCTGTTGAGACTGGCAACAAAAGGGAAGTGCTCTCCTCCCATTCCCTGCTCCTCAGTTAATGTAGAATTTATCTGGGATGGTGGATGTAATTCCAAGATGAGAACTCCTATATAAAAAAAGAAACTGCTTTCTAGCAAGAGGTAAGCCTCCAAAAAATCTCAACAAAAAGAAAACACCAAAAAAACCCCCCAAAAAACCTGTATACCTCAGAATTAATCTTTTATGAACTGGTTTAAACCACCAATGACACCAGTTTTGCACTGCTTAAACTATAAAGCAAACTGAACCTGTTTATGATATTGTGTTTCACTGCTGTTTTGGTATCATTAACAATAAAGTGCATTTTTCTGAGCAACTAAAACCAGCACAAATAAGAAAATTCTACACTAATTACACTTGCAGAAAAGAGATTACAAACCAAACTGACTACATAAAGCATTATTTCAGACATCCATCCTCAACAAGACCTTTCTTCGTAAAGAAAGTTAGCAAATTCAGTTTTAAGATAAGAGAACAGATCTAGCTTAGAAAAACAATAGCGTTAAGAATACTTACATTCCCAGCTGTATTCATAACAGATTTGATCTCCCTTTTGCATGCTTTTAGTGATTTCATCTGGATATAGGCTCTCACCTTATACTGTTAAAAAATTAAATTTGTTAAATAATAAACAATAACTTATGCAGGTTTGCAAGATGAAACACACCTGAAGATTTGTTACAGAATATTCTATATACATCTTAAAAATAGGTAGTAGAAAGCTGTTCAAAATGCCTTCCTAAGAGAGAAATTCTATTCAGACTTTCAACAACAAATTTATAGACTTTGTATTTGCAATAAGCAGATGCATGTTTTGTTCAATGGTCAACAGCTACTCTGTACTCAAACAGCTACTAGCATTTAAAATGACAAACTAATTAAAATAATCTATCTTCTTAATCCCAGACATTCACCTACTAAACTGAAAACACCTGTAAGTGAATGCTGATAGAGAAGCATTTGTTTCTTCACATATCTTTCCACAGAACAGTAGAGTGAAATAAAACCTCAGCTGATTTAGACTGTTGGAGGTCTAACATATAAAATCAGCGCAGGTAACTGCAGTTTAAAAAAATGATGAAATAGGGGTGCTTTTTGTGTGTTAGGTCAGTTCTTCCTGTACATGGATTTTACAAAAAGGAAGAGTTAGATAAATTCATTCTTTTGTTTTACAACATGAAATTCAAGGAGAGAGAGCATCACAACTCATGCTGAACTAGATTTCAAGCAGACAGCACTCAGTTTTAAGAAAAAATTGAACTGATGTTCTTGTATAAAAAATATGCAGACACTTACCTGATGTATCTTAGATTTAGCAACTTCTATTAAAGCTCCACTTTCAGCTTTTTGATTTGAGGAATCTTTATTTGTGTTATTACCTGACTGAGTGTCAAACAAAAAAAATAAGGAAGCGTTACTGTTAGTGACCTTTTAAATTCAGTTTACAAATTCTTTCGTAAGCTATTTTTATCAGTCTCACATGAAGAAAAAACACAAGTATTTAATACTCAAAAACACCACATGTTCCACTAAATAGTGTAACTTGAGCTTAACAGTCGAAAGCCACAACCAACCACACCAGCCATGAAAACCAGAATTCTACATTATCATTAGTGTTACACTATGTTGCTCTGCAGTTGAGGTATTTTAAGAATTCTCTTACACAGAAGGATGATATACAACTAATAACAACAATTGCTTACTTAATTAACAATTAACTCAGTTACTAACATGTATAAGTTGCTGTCTGAAGTTACAGATGATCCAACATAGTTTTATAATTCAAAAGTATTTTAAAGGAGTAATTTTGGTTTGAGTTAAAGCATACTTCTGGTAAAGACTTACGGGCATTCACATAATTTTAAGCTTACCTCATTTTTTCCATTCTTGCTGTTATTGTTGCCCTGTGAAATCATTTTTTCCAGAACAGCAAGTAGATGCAAGGCTTTCTCAGCTTGGTAAGTTAGCAGGTATAAGTCTACAAGCAAGAAGCACACAGCCTGGGCAAACTTCTCTTCTGTATAAAGCAAAGGAGTAAAGACGATTTTACAGCTCAATTACCAATCCTTCCAAACATGACTGAAGAAAAAAAAAATTGACTAACAAAGTGCATCTATGCAACGTTATCAGAAAAATCAATATATTACATAAAAAAAGATGCAGACATTACACAATGTAGATAAGTATGTATACTGAAAAAAAAAAAGGTAATTCATTCAAACAGCATCAGCATAAAAGCATAGACTAAAGACAGCTTAACATGTATTTCACGTTTACAGATTTTGAGAATTGGTCTAAGCAGATCAGCACCAAAGATGCACTGTCTAAACAGACAGATGAAGCCATACGCATACGTAGAATCCCACAGAAAGGATTTTGTACAAACACATCTCTGCTTGGCTGGCTTCACAGGGTAAGTCACGAACAGGCATACTGAAAACTGGGGGGAGTTGAAGGAGAAACATGGTAGCATTTACTGAATTTATTGAGACACACAGGCACATATACATCCTTCAGCCTTGTCATCTCTAAAATCCAACGAGGATCATGAAGTTATTTCATACAAGTATGGCAATTCCAATACACAGGGTGCCATAGCTCATAAAAGCTGGAGACTTTATATCCAGATATGAACACATACAATCACACATGACCTAATGCCATACAATCACACATGAGCTAATGCAGGTATTTAAAAACGTGAGTGCCCTGACACATACATACTCACCCATGAAGTTGTACCATTCAAAATACTAGATTTTAAATCATTCAATTAGCTTGTATATATTATTCATATGAATATCTTTTAAGGTTGTTAAAAATCCATTTTAGTTTCATTATACTTGTCTGCTAAATGTTTCTGAAGTACCTTTCCCCCCCAATTCAATTGCTGTCCTTGACATAACTAAAACATATTCTTCGTTCCGAAGCCTACCTACTTTTTTATAACCACATTAGGCAAATTACAAATCACTTGTCTGATAATTAGACAGGTTGAATGATCCTTCTGTAGTTATGGCATGAACAAAACTCTGCCTTCTGTCTACATACCAAAAGGCTCTATAAACTGGTACAGCTTCTCCCCAACTGATATAGCTTCAGTGTACTGACGCAGATGATACAAAATAACAGCTTGATTGTAGTACAGCATACTATTTTCAACATCATCTAAACCATCCATTTCTTCAACAACAGAGTGAACCTGAAAAAAACCCACTCATTGCATAAACTTTCAATACCTATGATTTAAAAAAAAAGTGTCAAATATTTTAAAAAAATAATCCAAATACAACAAACTTCTAAATTTTGGTCAATAACAGTTACAAGCTAATACACTTTACTGTTGTTCCACATAAATCCAGCAAAATATTACTATTAACTAGAAAGCTGACAATTGAGTACTAAAGTAACATTTTCACTTTTTTATTATTTCACAAACTATTTCAGGTCAAGGAACTTTCTATTGAAAGAACATAGCAGATATTTCTATGGTGATAATCTCTGAAACATTTCAGCTTCATATCAATTTCAACAATAACTAAAAACACAACCACAAAAACAGTGTCCTAAATGATTAAACAAACTCAAAGGTTTAAAAGTAATGTTACTTTCTTATTCCTTGTATTGAATCTAGGGGACGAGGGCAGAAGTTCTATTTCTATTTCACTGGAAGATCTCACCCCCATTAATAATACCCAAAATCAAGTACCATGTCAGCATTTTTGCATTACCTGGTTTTTCAGCTGGTTAAGGGTTTGTCTCAAATTATCTGTTGTAGTCTGGTTACTTTTACAGAACTCTGCAACAGCAGTGTTCAAAGTTATTTTGTAGTCATCCTTGTTTATGTCTTGAAGGGTGTTTAGGTGTTGTAAACAAGCATCATAGTTTCCAGCCTGGAAATGGCACACGTACCAGAAACACGTATTAGAAGATACAAAGTTTAAACTAGCGAGCTACTAAGTTTTAATAAAAGTATTCTCTGTAAGTTTACAGAGCAAAGTAGTATTGCCTTTATCAACAGCAAGTGAAGCCAGCCAAACGTCTACACACATACTTCATTACTTATGCAGATTAATATGCACAAGAAGCAAGACTAAAAGTTGAGGTCATACCCAAACTTCAAAAAGAATTTTGTGGAGGAAAGACAAATGAAGTAGTCAATTACTATAAATGGATGTTTCCATGAAAAGTGTTATTCTGATTTCTCTTCATCGTATTATTTTTGAGTTTCAAGATTCTTTATTTCCTCAGTTTTCGTAATCTTCCTCCATCACATGTACATTGTGCAGCTGCAGTTGCTTACGTTAAGTCCCAGCCCATCATTTTATGTTAATTCTTCACTTCATCCGGAGAGACTTGAGAGTTACAATTTAGTCTGTGGAAGTCAGCTTAAAACAGTTTGGAAAAAGAGGGTATCACTTCCCCAGTACAGGTTTAAATAATATCCTTACAAGTTTTAGCTGCTGAATGAAGTACTCAATCATCTAGGGGTGCCTAAAGAGAAACTAGGACCCAAGTGTGATGCTCCTCTGAGGCATGATTTAATCAAGAAATCCCTTTAACTTCAGGAATAAGCAAGGCCTTCAGAATGGCTCACCTCTTTCTACTTTCAGTTTTAGTCTTTCCTGTATTTGTGCAGGAGGAATTTAGTGGCATTGAGGAACCAAAGAGAACTCCAGACTCTTGCAACTGTTAAACCCAAATGATCCTTCACACTCTACTGTTCAATTCCTACAGAGGAATAATCACCTTCACCTCTTCTGTATCAGGGTTACTTCCAATTTGGTCAGTCAGGCAGATTTGTTTCCATCTCTGTCAACACTTCACAACCAAAAGCTATGCTCTTGAGCACCACGACCACTCTCCACTTCCTCCTCAAGGGCTGTTCCATGGAGCTTCTCCTGGGCTCCTGCCTAACTTCCTCTATTAAGGGAAGAATTACAACAGAGAAAGGCTCTGAGGTCCTTCTGCTCTTCCCAAGAAAGTTGCCACTCTTTGGCTGCTCTCAACAGAACCACCCCAGTTCCTCCAGTCTCCTGCGAAAGCAGTTATACAATTTACAGAGAGATGTAGCAGGACATTGACATGCAGTATTTCCACACCTCTTAAGTATCAACAGCATGGATTGCCTAGTGATCATGTGCATAAATACAGGGACTCAACTGCTGGCATGCTCTTTAAATGGGATAGTTCATCTCCCAATGATTTTCTTCATGTATTCACACTCAGAGCTGCTCTCCAACAGGATTAGCTTTCAGATCACAGCAACAAGGCTTCTAACCACAGTTGGACTGAAAACCTTAAATGCTCAGCTTATTTTGTGATGTTTTTCCTCAGCTAACAGTCCTTTACTCCACTCTACTGGACAGGATCTAGAATATAATATACAATTTTATAGTAATTCTATCAAGACTGAAATTGGAAGTGCAATACGACAAAGCAGCATGCAAGGCAGTCCACGAAGCTATTTACAGTCTCTCAATAGTAAGCAAAATCGGCAAACAAGGCACCAGATAATTCTGCTCATATCTGTCAGCTCCTCACAACTCCATGAACTCAGGGAGTTCTTAAAGCAAGAAAAAGATCATGAGATAAACAAGATACACTGGACCAGTACAAAACTAAAGATGAAGTCACCAGCAGATTAAAAGTATTCCAGGCATGTAGATCCATGAGCAAGGTGGAAACCAGACGATCCTTTCATGTGCCTTCAGCTCTTAGGATCAAATGCCAATGAGTAAAAGGTTATTAAAAGAGTAACCAAGATAGAAAGCACTCAAGATGACATCAGTGAACAACATAATCTGTAGTCAGTTCAAGGACCAACTACACACACTTCACGTAACAGCATTCCAGACAAAATAAAAGTAGGGACTGAAACATACAAGCAGGAATCTCAAAAGGCAATATTTAAATTCTTCCTCCAGTCTATTTAACAGATCCAAAACTGAATTATGCAAGGCATTGTGGGGCTAGAGATACAACAACTGAAAGGAAAAGCAATTACACTTCCTGTCATCTGCTACACTACATAAAATTAGGAGACAATATAAAGTAGTAAACTGAAAGATCTGGTACCTGAAGTAACATACACGAAAAAATCTTCCAAGAAACACAAAACAGGTAGTAAATACTGCCTGTAGGTGTATGTGTTGAAGAATATGTTTTAATGTAAAGTGACAGAACAGTATACAACACTTTTTGTTGTTGAACAAAGCATGAAAGAATATAGAAAGAGTCTACTAGAAAAAAGTCTGGTTGCTGTTTTTTAAATACATGTGGTTCCTTTTAACCCTTTAACACAACATTTTTAGCCTGAAGCAATTAATTTTGCAGAATGATCACACATTTCCAATACTGATACAGAATAGCAGGATGCTTCTTCTAATTAACTCACCATAAAGCTTTTAAGGCCACTAAGATTTAAGAAACAAGATTAAACGTGTTATTGTGTACTTTGTTCAAGTACCCCCTTCAGTCTCCTTGCATCATAGCAGACAGAAAATGCACATGCTGTCTTTATAACACAACTAGTGCTAATTTTGATATAATATCCCATTAATACATTTGCAACTGTGCTAAGAAAACAGGAAAAATAGTTCTATAAGCCCGTTTAGCAGCTACGTGGTAAATTAGAAGTCTCAGTTTGGCTTTGTCTTACCAGAAAAGCTTGTAATGCACTGCTTGACAATTCCTTTTCCTGATCAGTAATCCCAGAAGTGCCTGCTCCTTCGTGTTTCTCAGTACCTTGATCTGTAAAGTGGACAGAAGATTACAAGAAAGCTTGCAAACACGATGACAGTTATTCAGCTTAAAAATTTTGTTTCTTCCAGTTCTCAAGTACAATAAGTACAAGTAACTTCCCAGATAACAGATAACTGCAGCACTGTCTCCCTACTATACTAAAACGTCTCAAGTTACCCTATACTCCTAGTGAATTCCTCTCCATAAAATGTAAATGTAATAATCCTAGCCAAATTACTGTGCTCAATCAATAACCAAAGTCCTGCAAGTTAACCAACAACACATACATTTTAGATTTCCCTTTAAAGCTGCAATTATACACTAGGATTGTCTTTATTTGCACAAGAATTAGCAGTGAAGGCCATGCATCATCAAATAAGTACCACACTGGGTTAGATGAAAAACCCATGCATCCTGTATGCTTCTTCCCTAAACAGCAAGCAAGGGAGGCTTTGGGAAACAACATAAAAACCAGAGCAAACACTGGAACTTCCACCCAGCTCCCTGCTTTGGAAGAGTAAGTCTCCCTAAATAAGAGGCTGCAATCAAATTATCATTGTTAATAATCACTGACAGACCTGGTATTTTTTTTTTTAAAAACCCCTACACTTTTGTACTCTTCAGTATAGTCCACCAAATGCTACCTAGTCATTCTACTGCAAGACATGACCAAATGCTGTCCATTTACTTTTTCAGCCTCACTCCCAATCTCACAGATCTTTCTTTGAACCATCTCTCTTCCGAGGTGAGCAGGCACAGTTTATTCTGCATGTTCCTCACATGTTGCTTCCCAGAACCTCCTCCAGTTCTACTATACCTTTTTCCGGATTAAGACAACAAGAACTGTGTGTAGCAGTTATGATGGCGGCCCCTTTGAGCATTTATATAGCAATATAATAACGTTTTAATTGTCTTCAATTTCTATTGCATAAGATTCCTAATGTTTTTTTTCAGTCACTATTGAGCACATTTTTCAGAAAAAGAATAAACTGAAGCCTTTTATCATCATACAATTAAAAATTCAGTGAAGATGCATTAAAAATCACAGTACAGACATTCCATGTTAAAGAAGCTGAAAAAAAACCCACCAAACTGTTCCTCGTGCTGAACACAAACTTCTGCAGGAAAACAAAACAAAACAAAACAACAATCCAAAACACCTCACAACCACTGCACCAGACAGTTTATTTCTACCACCATTACCTCATGTGCTAGAACATACAAAAATAATTTAATGTTTTTGAAACACAGACTTTATAAACCAGCAACAGTTTCCGCTTTTGCAGAAAATTATTTCTTGAATTTCACAGCAGAAGCTTTGCTCTAATCTACTCTTTGCTATCTTAGTAGGCTAGGTAGGCTTCATAAATTCAATGTCTTCTTTCTCTTCCCCAGAACTCACAGATGTAATGCAAACTGCTAAATTTGTTTTCACTTTGAACAAATGAAAACACTTATCTGTGAGCTCCACTGTAAAACCCATTCCCCATCATCAATCACCAATATATCTGGATTGTCCACTATTGACTATGAAAATTCACAAATATAAACCAAACGACAGTAAGGGGCAACCAAACCACAGAAGATTAATCAATTAACATCCACAGTAAGAATAAAGCAGTAATCTGTTCCTAGTTTGTGCTTGTTGCTGGGAAGATAGTGAGATCCCTTCCATTGCCCTATGCAATAACACATTTTAGGAAGAACTGTAAATATTTGATTGTGACTTTCATCTGGCATCAAGGTTGATTTTAAAATCTCAACAATCTTACACCTGCAAGTTACAAAGCAATCCACTGTGATTCAGATAAAATTCAGGATTCATCAATTTCAGTACTCAGGAGGGATGGATCCTCCAGGGGCTACAGAACTGCATGCACCTGCTATAAAATCTGACTGCACACGAGGCACTGATCAACACCACTCGCACTGCCTTTTCCTTGAAAAGGAAACACAGGACAAAAAACTAAAACACAAAAAAGCTCAGAAACGTTTTGATGCTCCAAGGTTTTCTGCAGAAGAGGAAAGGAACAAGGCGCACCTATCCTTCAAGCTAAATATAGAAAAATAGATCTGATTCCTGCTCCAAATCTTATGGTTGTACAGCTGAAGAGAAAGCTATCACCCTCCAAGGGCCTCTAGAACAGCAGTGAATAAGCAAACGCATCTTCCCTCAAACTTTCAGGCCAACAGTTACATTACCTGCTTTCCTTGCTCAGCATGCCTTTCAGATTATGCTAGCAAAAGTAACCATTGTGCAGAGGCTTGAGACTCTGAAACTTTTGAAGTTGATAACGCTCAGTCTGGTCAAGAGGTTCCTCACATACAGGTTTGCCTAGCAGAGTGCCACCAGCCACCGAGTGCGTTACTGATTACTGCCTTTGTATGCAACTTCGTAAAACAAGCATCTCAAACGAAGGTGGGCTTATGGAAGTCTGAATCCTGAAGTAAAATGTCTTCAGTTAAGTAAAAGATCAACCAAAGGAACTGTCGCCTAAGTTGTGTAATAAAAGCATCACTTGTATAGCTGTTTGATGTATTTCCTAGCGTAAAACCAGGACAGGTCTACAGATCTCACTATGTCTCCCAGTTTGCCAGCACGTTAAAAGAAAACAAAATTAAACTAGGGACTACTTTAAGCAAAGAAAGAGCTGTCACTTCTCCTATAAAGTCAGTTTTATGGCTGTAATCCTGTCAACTGCACCTACTACGACTCAGTAAACAAAGCAGGTTTGCGAAACCTGAACTGGGAGCTTTCTAAGAAAGAATAAAACTAAAGGCCAGCACAGCTCTTTCCTTTGGAAAAAAAAAAAAACCCACGCCACTCTCTACCTTTTTGCCCAAACACACTTGAAACCTGTTAAAGAGCTGGACATCATTCTAATCTACTATAATCCTGCCACTCTTGTTTAGACAAGGATCTACTGCTTCAGCTGTTCTTTATTATCGAGAGTTCTCACAGATAGGAGTCACCTAAAAGCTGTCTGGTGCAAGATACTGAAAAGAACCCTCCAATTCCACTTAAATGGGGGGAGAAAAAAAGTACTCTTGCTCTCTTGGCTGCAAATGGCTATCAAGTGCTTGCAAATAAAACTGATTTCAAAATTTCTTGAGGCATTTAAAAATTAAACAGGTAGATGAACCATTCCCTGGCAAAACATACAGCATGCCACTTGCTTGCACAGATCTAGTGATCTCCAGAATTCTTCCAGAAGCACATGGTGTGGGTAACACAGCGCATCAGTCACTACTGACACGCTCCTATCCATACACAGCTGCAATTATCAGCTGAAATATCTGAAACAGTGCAGATTCTCTGCTTTTTAAGTGACAGGACTCAGATTTCTTTCTCTACATTGTATTTACACATGGACCTGTTTAACTTTTCATTCTGTCCAACTTTCACAAGTACAGAGCAACTCTACAACTAATACTTGTCAGGCTAGCGACAAGGAGCAAAAGGGGCAAGCTGGAAATAGATAAAAATTAACTGCTCAGATTTTGAGCTAGAGGAAGCTGCTGTACTGAGTGAAGTTAAAGCAGCAAGTCAGGAAATCATCTTCCTAGCTACTAGTTAGCAATGCTGGGGCTGTGCAGCAGAAACACTATGTCACAGAGGCTTGTTTGCTTTGCACAAGCAGGCAGCTGTTCCTACTGGAGAAGTTACATCACGGTGGACAGCAGGACTCTGGAAAAACTGGCTCTGTGAGAGGAGAGAGAAGAAAAGGATGAGACTGCCACCTGGAAAAGGAGATTGTTCTCCTCATTGGCTTGCTGCCACAACATCATATAAGCAACACACATACCGAAAGACACCTGGAGAGTGACTGTGATCATTAACCTCATACCTGTTCTCCATATCTCCAAGGACTGCTGTTCCTGAGCTCTCTTGCTTCTAGGCCCTGTAAATTACACCAAGATCCAGAGCATCTCTGGAATTATTTATTTTATTTACAAACTCTACAGGCAGGGGGATAATCTCTCCCTTGGAAGAGGAGGAATCTATCACATGTCTCTTGGTTCAAAAGCATTTTGAGTGGTATGAAGACCAACCAGAGAGTCCAGCCTTTAAGACAATGACAGTTTGTGTCACCAAGACTACATTTTCTTCTATGAAGCACTGCACTACTAGTACTAAACATAATATACTTTGTTAATGCTGTACAATAAAAAGCAAACACTTCTCACTGGAAAGTTATTTGTAACTCACTGCTATGAACAAGTACAGGACATAGAATATCTTGTCATAGCTCACACCTTTGATTCATTAGGGCACGTACTTTTCTTTTTAAAAAGTACAACTGAAAAGTTCCTTCAACATTTCCAAGAATCACAAAAAGTATAAAAAACCTAATGCCCATTTTTTTTTTCTTGTAGTTTAGGAGGTGCTTACAGTGCTTATAAACAAACACAGAATAGTTTAGTACACATCACTCAGTACAGTATGCTACTTTTTCAGTTACTGAGAAGTTTCATATTTAGCATCCAGGGAAAAAAAAAGCTTAAGGCAATTTTAAATAATGCTCCCGCCATGTAAAACCAACTGAAAAAACCCCCAACAAAACACAAGCAGATCCCTTTGGCTTTCCTCCACATTGCCCTCTCCTCCACCCCCACTGAGCTGCCACCTGAAGAAGGCCCTTTCCTACAGAGAGGACTTCTTGCACGAAGGGTTGTCTTATGGGAAATGGACGAGCAGTAGCTCATCAGTGCTAATGAGTTACACAGCAACTGTACTTAAGATTTATTTCAGGTGTTTACCAGATGATTTATTTTTTAATCTCGGCGATTTCTGTCTACAGCGTCTTTTCAGGGCCAAGTTTAGGCAAGACCCACTCATCCCCTGAAACCAAAGCAGCAACTCCGAGGGAATCAGACTGAACTCGAGACTAAGCAGCGACACGAAGCATTCACATCTCCCCAGCTCCTTCCGAATGCCCCAGTTTAACGAATTAACCCAGAAGCTGAACTTCTGCAGCGGCTATCAAACTCTGTGAGACACCCA